CTACGATCAAGTTGATTTTTCATCCATTCTTGAGCACATATTCTAATGTCAAATTATTTTTTTCTTCATGTTATTTAAGAAAATTCTTTGGGAATTCTAAATCTTTGATTTTACTCATAGGTGGAGTGACTGGACTTTGAATCTTTCTTAGGGTTTGATCTTGAAATTTCAAGAATTGAAAGTACTCTTGAATCTTTCTTGGGTTCTTCTTTGTGACTAAACCCACAAGTTATTTGAATCGATTTGAATTTTTTAACAGAATAATCCAACTTAGCCAAAAAGTAATGATTTATGCTTGTACATTTCTGACTGCTTCAATATTATAACAAAAAAAAATTTCCTTGAAGAATACTTTTCCAAGGAATATAATTACCAAGAGTTTCCAAATTTTCATCATGAGTGGCTCGCAAGTTTCTATGAGAAATTAGTATTTTATTAAATTTTCATCTAAATTCTTTTGAAAAACTGGGTGATAAAATGGAAAATGCGTTCATCATTGATTGAAAATGAGTCTAAAGATAATGTGGTCTCCAGTCTAATTTAAGCAAATAATACTGTGTCACATTGTTATTGACTCATATATCAATTAGAGCACATGCTGGTCGAGTGTGAAGGCAGAAAAAATAGAACAATTTAAGTTAGGAAAAAAAAACCCCTTAAACCACAAGGTATGGTGCGGTTGGCAAACTGCCACCTTCAGCTAGCAAGCTACCTACATGGTGTCTCAATGGTAGGGGTTTGAAACCCGTTTGAATCATTTTGTGGCCAGGGACAAACCGAACTCCGAGCGGGGATTAATCTCACCCTTCGAATGTGGGGACACTTTGTGGTATTTACCACAAAAATAAACCCTTAAATATATGTTGACTGCATACACTATCACATTGACTGCTGACCCAAGTCTTGGTCTTCTTTCTACATATTTAATAATTCAATAATATTTAGGGCCAGTTTGGTATTATTGTGCTGTGAAAATAATCTCTTTCATATTTGCTGCATGAGAAATCAGCTGTGAAGGAAAGCAATTTTGGCATTTGGTATATAGTTAAAGTGTTGTTAGTACAAAAATTAGTTTCTAAGTATTTGGTAAATTTTTGTGTAAAAGTGTTGTGGGATGTGTATAATGACTAAATTTTTTTTATTTAACTGTTTGGTAAAATAACAAGCACTTTCACTTTTGATCTTTATACAATTCTTTTGTTTATGTTTTTTTTTTTTTGGGGATAAATTCTAGGATTGCCTTTATAGTTCAGCCAAAAAAGTCACTAGCTACAAAGGCCCAATACAAACTAGTCACAAAAGGCCATTACAATAACAGAGCGATCTAACATAAAAATTAAAGTAATTTGGTGTGGCTCAACTAACGATCATGCAGGATCGAAGAAACTTCGATATAGGCATCCGAACTAAGATTTCAAACTCAGAATAATAATAAAAAGATAAAGCTTGAAAAAATCAAGCCATAACAATACAAATAAACTCTCACAAATGAGAGATGAAAAGCGCTCACAAAAAGATAGGTGAAAACTACTCTATGAGTGTTTTTTGGGAGCTTTTGTTTATGTTTCTTAACCATCACACCTTAAAAAATATTTCAATCATGAAATAAATGAAGTACCATATTGAAAGTTAATATTTGTGAGTTAAGCCCAACATTCCTAATTAATATAATGTCAATAATATGGTCAATAACAAAAATTAAACTAATTATAAACACATAATCGTATACAATTTCTACATGAATGAACTCATTAAACTTGCGGTTATATTATTTCTCAATGCCTTCATTTTTTGTGCTTCTCGACCATATTCTTGTTGTGCATAACCTTCGTCCCAATCTCTTCATCTAGGATGTAACTTAGACAATCTCCACTTCCATCTTTGCGCAACAAAGACATCTATAAAGAGATAAGCACAATCATATTTATGCTACGCTATGTAATTGTGACTGACTTACAAACCAACTAATTACCTATGTCAATTAGCCTCAACAGAGCAATTCATGCTACTTTATACATTTCCAAGGCTAATATAAAAATCCCATATCTAGACAAATTTCTGCCAGTTTCTTAAATGATTCACCTATGTAACTAGTTGCGGAGATAGGCTAGAGTCTCAAAGAGACACTGGCAACTTGAGAGAGAGAGAGAGAGAGAGAGAGAGAGAGAGAGAGATGAGTATTAACATTTGGATAAACAAACAAAATTCTCATGAGCACTTTTCTGGATACAGAAAGCATATATTGCTAGCAGCTGCCTAGCTCTCTCCAAATTTGTTCAATTTTTATCTGCTAATCACATGCTTCTTCTTCTTCTCTTTTTTAAAATTTATTTTTAAAAAAATTCTGCATAAATGTGACTTAAATTTTCTGAAAATATTGTCTGCTTTAGACTATAAGGTAAGAAGAAGCACATGGTGTACATTAACGTTATACCAACCACATATGTGCTAATATATATATTTTTTTACATTAGATAGAGAAAAGGGTATTTAAACACGAAATCTCATATGCAACCACTTGAGTTGCAAGTCCCATGCACCCCATAAAATGTAATTAAAACACTAGAAGGTGATGCAACTCTATATACGTCATCTTTTCTCTTTTTGTCTTTCTTTCACGTGGGAGAAATAAATTCTTAACTAAATTTTCTCGAATCCCTGCCTTGTTTTTTCCCAGAAACACTCATCTTGCCTCCCCAACCATCTTCCTTTCTCTCAACGGAGGTATTTTGGTTGAATGGAACAAGCAACACAATTATTATCAATAAGTGCTCATCCATATCACTGACAAGAGATGAAAACCTACCCAACAATCAACGGATTTAAGCAGCCGATACTGTTGCTACACAAACTTATCTTTTGTTTTTCAATCAATTACCAACAGGACAAGAGAATCAATATTTCGCCCTGTTTTTTTTTTACCCACAATAACAAAATCAAATCTTTGTGTCATCCAATGGCCTTTATTAAATAGGACCTCCTTTTTAAGTCCTTAGGTGAGCGAGACTATTTTATTAAATATGACTTGTATTTTATTAAATTTTCATCTAAATTCTTCTGAAAAATTAGGTGATAAAATGGAAAATACGTGTGAACTTTCATCAATGATTGAAAATAGTCTAAAAACAATGTGGGCCAGTCTAATTTAAGCAGCCGATACTGTCGCATTGTTATTGACCCGTATGTACATGCTGGTAAGTGTGAATGTAGAAAAAAATAGAACAATATAAGTTAGAAAAAAAAAAAAAAAACTTAAAGATAGTTGACTGCATACACGATCACGTTGACTGCAGACCCAGGTCTTGGTCTTGGTCTTGGTCTTGGTCTTCTTTCTACTTATTTAATATTCAATAATATTTAATCGTTGATTAAAATAATTTACTGGGTCTCTACTTTTGCAAAAATCGATCGAATGATATGATGTTTCTTTCTTTTTTCTTTCTTTAGACATAAAGCGTTCCTCGACTTTTCATTACGAGACCATAAGTCACCTTTTGAAATTATTGAATTTAAAGTAGTCTTTTTTTGAAGGGGTTGCATAAATGTGACTCTTAAAATTTCTGAAAATATTGTCTGCTTTAGACTATAAGGTAAAGAAGAAGCACATGGTTTCTTTACATTATTATGTACATTAATGTTACACTAAACACAAAAAGTACTATCTATCTATATTTTTTTTGACATAAGAGAAAGGGGAATTCGAATACGATATATCATATGCAACTTATTTTACGCACTCTATGAACGTCATCTTTTCTCTTTTTGTCTTTCTTTCGGGTGGGATAAATAAATTCATGACTAAAATTTCTCTAAAACTAGATGGATGATAACGACCATTGTGCCCATAATAGTAATTAGTTACCTCCTCCTATCCTAAGCTACAAGATGAGCTATCCATGCATGCGATTATAGGTAAGCCTAGTTAATTATCCTTGCTGTCAATGGTAAACAAACAGTTGTATAAATTGTCCATATTGCTAAAATGTTTGTTTTCTAACTTGCAAAAGTCTTCAGCGCCATAATCGATTGCATCTTGAAATTGACCTTTATCTGGAGGCCACATGTGTATTTCATGATCCAAGTCAAAGTTAGGTTGGAGATGTCCTTCAATTATATATATTAGTTCGTTATCATCACACTGTTCATCACTTTACTTAATTTTAATGGTAATGGCATGCATATTCATTTGCGGTAATAACTCAAGACGATGAATTACTCTTTACGTTATCATAAGTAACAACAAATAATGCTACCTTATCTCATCTTAATTATCACTCGTGTTGAGTTCTCATGGCGGGATATATGATATTAGCACTAAACATCACCTCCGGATATGTCATATTTTGCCTAATACCGAGCTATATATGTTCAGAAAACAGATGGAAAGTTGTCAACATGATCGAGTTGATTTAGGACATGTTCGGAAAAAGTGGGAAACTTGCTGCAATTACTATTACACATGTTCTGTTCATAGAAAACATGTCCTAAATCAACTCGACCAAAATGACGAAAGTTACCGATCATCACTAATTAAAAAAAAAAGCGAGTTATTTATTATAATTTGAATTAAAGTAGTATGTGCATATCAACTGAGAATGAAAGGGAAGAAAACGAGAGAGTGTTGAAGAGTATGGAAAACAACAAAGTGAATTTGACATGTACATATAAACTCATACATATTTGATAGAATTAAAATAATATCGCCTAAAAACATATATAGTCTTCCTAACATGAACTTGTCATTCACCAGAGATTTTAAGATGATATAAAGGCATACAATCCAATCCCCTCTTCCTAAAGATTTATTAATATAGTTTTATTGGGATGATAAGTTATAACTTATGCATCAACCTACGTGTGAAAACAATAATAACACGTGGAACATGATAAAGGGAGAGGCCCACCACCCCGACATTGTTTCCTTCGAAATTCATTACCAAACAAAAACGCACCTCTCACCTTTATATATATACGTCTCTGCTTCATCGGCGACTACAACACAACATACGCAGAAAAAAATAAAACACAAAACCCATCTCTCTCTCTCTCTTCTTCTCTTTCTCTCTTAAACTCACAAGATTAAGGTGAAACGCCAGAGAGAGACACCATGGCAGACCCAGCAACGTCGTCGTTTTTGTCTATCATGATCAGCTGGTTCACGCCCACCTCTCTATTCCTATTCGTCAACCTCGTGATCGGCACCATCGTTCTCTCCTCTCGCTTTGGGACCCACAAAAACCCTGAACAGCACCATCAAGATCAGCTCACTCCTCACAGCTCGCACCAGCTCGTCCGTACGCCATCGCTCTTGGACCGGGTCAGGTCCTTCAACTTCTCTCACTACAAGTTCGAACAACCCAACCCGGAACCCGAACACGTGGCACCAGAGCACGTAAACCCGGCCGGGTTAACTCGGACTCCCTCGCTCTTGGAACGGCTCGAGTCGATGGATTTCTCCACTCTGTTGAGATCGGAAAAGCCTGGCACAGAAACTAGACATCTTGACCCGAATGAGTCCGTGCACGAGACCCATGATCCAAACCCGAGGCGCGAGAATTTGGTTCATCGGAGCAAGTCGGAGTCGGGTGGTGGAGCTCCGGTGCACCATCACGAGCAGATAAGAAAGTCTGTTAGCGAGAAATCGCCGCTGGGAAGGGTTGAAGGAAACGACGACGTAGGGGACGACGGAAGGCCGAGGGTGGTGAAAACGAGGTCGTTTGGGGGCCTCGAAGGGGTTGACGCGAAAGCTGATGATTTTATCAACAGGTTTAAGCAGCAGCTGAGGCTGCAAAGGGTTAACTCTCTCTTGCGTTACAAAGAAATGCTTCAAAGAAAATAAAAAAACAAAAAATAGTTATAGTAGGTATTTTTTTTGGGGGGGTTTTTTTTTTCTCAAGGTGGGTTTCGTTGGCTGTGATGTGAGATTGTAACCATTTTTTTCCTTTTTCATCCTTTTTTGAATATTAGTATTTTCCTGGAACCGAGGCCTTTCATGGTGTTCAAAGCGTCACAAGGCAGCTGAGAAAACTCAAATCTCAGACCAGTTCGTCAACCAAATTAAATATTAATAAAAGAGTTAAGAGTAGGTACGTTTTATAACCCCATCCCATCTTCAGTTCCTACGAGTTATATATGAGCTCTCTGCCAAATTAATATGTTTGATTACTGCATGCTTGGATTTATTTTGATAATGAAAGACCATTAAATAAATTGCTTTTTAATTAACTCTTTCCCGATGGATAACTTAAAATTTTCAACAATAAAAGATCATTCATCAAAATATTAATAAATACGGCATGGATGCACGGATGGTCTCCTCTAGATTAGATGATACATGCGTTTACTAACTATCTCTTTATTTAGTAGTACTTCTCTTTCCAATGCCCATTGTGCTGCTATACAAATTAGCTATGTTGACTATTGTAGAATAAAAAGAGAGGCGCTTACGTGGCATTAATTATTCAATTCGGCTAATGATAGAATTATATGCTTTTATATATTTCTCTTTGTTGCACTTATTTACAATGACATTATTAGATGTTTCTTGGCAGCATGGCTTAGAGAAAATATAAGCAAAGAGGAAAAAATTGAAAATACACCATTTTATACCTTTTGCTTTATACATATAGATATATAGATTTAGAAAAAAAA